ACCCTCCTTCCTCCTTCCTCCTTCCTCCTTCCTCGTTTCTTCCTCCTTCCACTTTCTTCCTCCAAATTTATTCGGTCGGTTGACAACCACTACTTCAGGCTTGTCTAGTATGGCAGAACTTATGGCTCTGGCTATGGCAGAACCTGTACTCTAAACCTAGTTCATCTAGCAGAGCCTCTAAACCTGTACTCAAATGGTGCCCTAGTTTAAACCGTAAAGGGCATTTTTGATTATTGAAGGGTAGTTTTGGTATTATATGATAAATAATCAACCATGTGATGTCACATGTGAACGGTTCCTGATGGAGAATTGACGGTAAGGGATGTGTTAGTCAATTGTCCATAATAGTAGGGGTACTTTAAAACAATAGTCAAACAGTAGGGGTGGAGTTAGTCAATTAACTAAACCATAAGGATACTTTAAGAAATTTACCCTATTTTATTTTATTTTGGGCTATGTTTGGTTGGTAGAAAAACAGAAATTTGAGGAAAGGCTCTCAACCCTCAAGGATGAAGGAACTATTTAGTTTTCACTTTTATTTTCTATTAAACCAAAGATAGCATTAAGCTCCATGGTGATAGGAAGCAGTGTTCGAAAAAACCAGAAGGGATTAATCGATTCCTTCTTCGGTTTCTCCGTCTCCCTTGTAGTCAAATGGTGATCCAACCTCCTCCATGACTGGAAGCTCGCTCTATCTACTTTCTTCTTTCCCATCTTCTTCGTATGATCCGCAATGGCAACCCTTCGACCCTCTGCGTCCCAAGTCTCCTTGTCCTCTGCACCTTTGCATCCACTAAAGAATTCCTCCCTCGATCTTCCTGGAACTTGTCCAGGGGCTATCAGAGTAAGTTCTTCTTTACTACTCCTTTTCATTCTTGTTTTCTTTATAGTTTTTTTCTTTTTCTTTTTTGTATTTTTCTCCACTGATCTACTTCTGTGCTACAGATCTATGGATCCCGAGAGAAATCGGGGAAATTTGAGGACACCCAGCTGAGATTATTCACTACAAACAAGTAAGTTTGTGCCTTTACCTTGGTCTATCTTGGTCAATGAAGGAACAGTTCAACTTGATCATGTTTTTGTTTTCCTTCTCCTTTTTCTTTAACGGCATTAGCTACCATATAATCTTTCGGTTGGGAATTTTCATCGGGTTTGTTTGATCTCTCTGGTTGTTATTTATGGGTTTGTATTTGTTTTGTGATTCTAAACATATGGATCTGAACACTTCAGATGTTTAGTTTTTGAAATGTGAAACTATGGAATGGCTTATAGTCATTAATGGCAATTGATTTGATTAACCTTCTATGATTTTGGATTTTTGTTTAATTGTCGTTGTGATTGTGCATGCCTGCAAATATCCATGCTTGCCTGAGTGGTTCTCAACACAAATTCGCTTAATTCATGCTCGTTAAGTTTCTAATGTTATTGTTTGATGATTTATTTATAGGAAATCTGTACTTTTAGAAATTACAGATTCAATGCAACCTTCGGCACTGACCCAGAAAGATAAGAATATATTCGTTCTTGTTTGAATCACCTGTGCTCTGTTATTCTAATCCATGGATTTCTTAAGCATAACTTACTAAGACTTCGAGTATGTGCTATTTCCATCGTTTGGCGTTTTTATTTGCAGAAATTATCCATCTCTGAGAGTAGACGCTTCAAGGGAGTATATGGGACTGACCCAAGAAATTACAGACAACAGAAAATTGTGTGCAAATGAAATGGAGCATGGACTAGATCTTTTTGGGAAGATGAAAAGTAGGTTTTTGAGTTTCAAAAGGCACAAATATCTGTAAGTAGCACTCAACACCAAACTGAGGTATTATATCCTGGACAAGAATTCTATGCCCACTAACTTGAATTGCATGTCAAACAGGGAGGACTTGGAACATTTTGAGAAACTTGCAAAGGCTCAAGCACCAAAGGTGATTGAAAACCTAAGCATCTTTTCTGTATCTTCCAGTTTAAATATTTTCTTGGCTTATGTTGGATTTCTTCCTTTATACCCTTATTTTCTTTTTGTTTTTTATTCTACTTTTTTTTCTTCATCAATAAACTTGGGTGGTCTCTCATTTACTAATTAGTTCAAAAACAGTTTATGGTAATTGCTTGTGCAGACTCTAGAGTATGCCCTTCTAACATTCTGGGTTTTCAACCTGGAGAAGCCTTTATGATACGTAATGTGGCAAATCTGGTGCCCCCTTTTGAGGTATTATGGTGCCTTTCTTTTGGTTTATCTTCATTTTATAAATGAAAAACTTGATGTTATAAAGATAACTGGAAAATATGGATGAAAACAAACATGTTCGTTTTAGAAAATTCTAAATTTGAATTTGTCTTTTGCAGAGACCTTCAGAAACTAATGCTGCACTTGAATTTGCTGTAAATACTCTTAAAGTAAGTCTTTTTGTAGTGATAGTGTGTATACCATATGTATATAGTCTATATCCTTGATGATCGGTTATGAACAAACTTCAAATTTTTGTTCTTCAGACCATGAGTTGTTGGGTTTTCTTATATGTGTTTATTGCCAAATGTTCTCAATGTAGTTGCTGGAAAATGATACATTGTTGTAACATGCTATTTACACACACCCTACAAAGGTATATATGCATCCTCAAGAATGAAATTGTGAGATTTATCATTGATTATTACAGGTTGAGAATATATTTGTCATTGGCCACAGCTGTTGTGGAGGTATTCAAGCCCTTATGAGTATGCCAGATAAAGTAGATTCAAGGTTGGGCCAGATGACTCCTTTCTTTCTTTTACACAAAAGTGGCATGTCCTGTCTTTTTTTCTTTGTTGAACACTGATTTGTTTCAATGTTCTTACATCAGTTTAATCTCTGTTTTCCAGTAGCTTTATTAGAAATTGGGTTGTTGCTGCGAAGAATGCAAGGTTAAGTACAAAAGCTGTTGCTGCCAACCTCAACTTTGATCAGCAATGCAGACACTGTGAGAAGGTGCCCTCTGCTTTCTTGCCTCTTGTCACACACATTGCAATCAACCACCTTGTTTGTACTAGTCTCTAGGTGCAATTTAAAACTGGTGACACTTTTAGCTGGTAATCTGAAATGCTAGAAAAGTAAAAAGAAAAAAAAAATGCTAAAAGTGTGTGTACAGATGCACAGGAAGAGGCCATATATGTGATTATATAATATTATAATATTTACTTTCTGTTGCCTACCCTAATGGGTTACTTTCTATATGTTACAGGAATCAATTAACCGCTCATTACTGAACCTGCTAACATACCCATGGATTGAAAAAAGAGTTAGTAAAGGAGTGCTCTCCATTCATGGTGGCTATTATGACTTCACCAAGTGTACATTCGAGAAATGGACACTCGATTACAACAAAAGTACTGTAGATAAGGAAGCTGGACGATTCTCCATCAAAGATCAAACATTTTGGTGCTGATTATGACTGTTGCATATCCATGAATTTTGCTCCGCAGCTTCAAGGTTACCTATTTGGATTTCATTTTGCACTGTATCTTTTCCTTTTTATCCTTTATACGTACCTTGTTGCATTTGTGTGTACTGTGTAGTAGTAATGAAAAGCATATACTTGTGTCAGTGTGTGATGGGATTTTGCCCCAGATTGTATTGAATTAAGGATTGCAATTAACCGGAGGCTTTCAATAAAACCCTTTAATGGGTCCAACAAATTCTTTGTCGTCATACATGTGAACATTTTATGGCTACCAACAACATCTAGAGGTTGAACCTAGGGGTCAAAGTCAAAATAGGTTTGATTCTAATCATGTAGAAATTTTGACCTAGGAAGATTACTAAGTTGGAACTTGGAATGGGGTTCGTTTCCTGAACCTTGTACAGTTGTACCCAACAGGGGATGAATGACTGAATGGTTGTTGAGACCTTATTCATTAACCAATGCGGCCTAACTAACCGCGTCAATGAGGAAATGCCATCTGTCTCACCTGAGGGCAATTCAGTCAATCCACCACACCTTGGAGGGTAATCTGGTAATTTTGGTGGACAACCTGGGGGCATGATGTGTGGAGATGGAGTGTTCTACCTTTACCTATCAGCCGACCTGGTCAGGCCATTAACACCCATGCGCTTAATGTGAGCTAATGACTGACCACATGCGAGTCCAGGTATCCTATCCACAAGAACTCTACCCACGTCTATCCATAGAACACTGTATGCATATATGGAGGACATCTCATCCTCCTACATAGTATTATATATGGGGAGATATTCCCAATGCACGGGGGTAGTATGTTGTGGGTAGCCATAGGTAGAGTTTTTGTGGGCAGGAGTTCCAGAGTCATCACATGCCTGCTTCCTATTCACTTCAGCTCACCTCCCACCTTGGCTTACCAATCAAGCACTTAATTTGCCCTCACTCCCAATTATGCTAACTTGACTATCTTGGATATCACTTCAAGGCCTCTGACGTTTTTGTGTTATAATAACAATTTAGATGGGCAAAACTGAAAAAAAAAATCACAACGGAGAACATCCCCTAAGATGATAGTTTTTAAACAAGAAATAAGTGTTGGAGCATAGATATTGCGTCACCACATGCACACAAAAGATATTATTAACTTTCATAAGTATTTATAAAATAAAGCAACTTGGTCAAGTTTCAATATGGCAACTTATCAAAAAAGAGCAGGAGGAAGCCAATCCAAAATGAATTAATGAATGAAACTATGGCTAGGAATGGTCGGGGGTGGGCTGGGGCAAATTTGGGGATCCCTATTCCCAGCAGGGATGGGGCTTGGATTTCCAGCCTGTTGGGGATAGGATCAGAGTACATGTATTCGGGGTTGGGGAGGGATATGCAAAATCGTATAACATATCTATTTAAAACAAAAAACATGCTTCTCAAACCAGAAATTCAATATCACATTGTTTTAAGAAGCAATGTGTTCAAATCTGTTTTTTTATTTTGTTATTTCTTTTCAAATTCTCAATAAGAAAACAATTCACATTGAAGATGGCTGTATTATAAGCTGTGAGACCAATCATACCCCCCGCATCGCCCATAAAATGCATATGATCCCCAACTTATGGCTGCCCGGGTTATCAACTTTACTTGCCAAAAACTAAATATATAAATAAAAGAACACTATCAAATTTGAGATGGGTTAGCTGAACTTGATGGCTGTATAATAAGCTGTGAGACCAATTATAACCCCCCTGCTTGACTCATAAAACGTATATGATCCACGACTTATGGCTGGTTGGGGTGTCATCATTAATCCTTCCCATAGGCTGTAACACAGTTATCAACTTTAACTTTTAAAAAAATGGGGCAAATTTTTTAAACTGCCCCTAAGGTTTGGGAAATTGTTTTAAAGTATTCTTACTGTTTCTAATAATTGACTAGCTCTGCCCTTATGTTTTTGACAATTGATTAGTTCTACCCTTACCGTTATCATACATTAATATTCCATCAAATTCCGTACACATGTGATACTATGTGATGTATAATTTTTAAAACTCAATTTTACCCTTCACTCTCTTTCTCTTTCTCTTTCTCTCTCTCCCCTTCTTCCCCTTTGTTCTCTCTCCCGTTTCATCACCGCAATTGTATAGAGTTCTACCTCTCAACGAGAACAAGCAACAATGGCAACAAGTTCACCATCGATCTCCTCTCACATTGTTTTTCTTTCTCAATTTTTCTAAAAAATCCACCACATTCCATTTGATGCATAGTGGCAGAAGAGCAGCAAACTTCCATCCCATCAAACCTAAAAGATCCTTGGTAGTGGGATCGCAATACACCGATTTCACTATTCCAATGGCGGTCTCCACCACACTAATGTGCTGCATTTCTGAAGCCACAACTTGACCACCTCCAGAGCTTTCTGAGCAGCTGAGAAGGCTTTGCTTGACACGCGCTATTCCTTCATTCCCATCTGAAATACCTCCACTTTCCCGATCTTCATCATTGCACAAGTAGCAGCAATCACCCTACAATAGATCACCATTGAGCCATTTTCTCTCCCCTAGTGCTTTCTTTTCCCCTCTCCTTCTTGGGAATGGCAACGGGGTGGGGATCATATTCCCCGTCCCTACCTCCAATTCTGAAATTAATCCCCATCCCCGTCTTTGATTCCCGCCAAGGATACAATTTATCCTCCATCCCTGATCCCCGATTGGATGGGTTCCCCGCAAGGACCCAAATCCCCTAATTTTTTTAGATACTAGATTTTTTTTGAAAAATAAATTTACTTAAAATAAATAAAATGTTTAAATAATAAATAATATTTCAAATATGTTTTGAAATATATATAATCGGGGTTGGGGCGGGGTGGGGACCTCAATCCCCATCCTTGACCCAATGGGGTTGAGGGAAATTGGGTCCCCATCCGGAATGGGGAAAATTGTCATTCCTACTCCCTCTATCCCTTTGCCATTGAAAACCACCCTGCGGCACCCCTGGTTTGCTTGTTACTTGCGTCCTCATAAGGCTGTTGTTCAGAGTTTCCATGGATCCAGAGCCCAACAGGTACTGTTGAACGAAGGAAAAGGTCTTATTCCGAGTTACCCCCAGTCCATGTTGGATATTCTAGGAAAATGCAACATTGCTACTGCTCATGGTCCACTACACAAGTCTATGAGAGGAGGCCTGCTTAGCCTCATAAGCCCTATCATGATCGGAAAGCAACTTCTTCCAAAGATTGATAAGTTTATAAGATCCCACCTCAGTAACTGGGATCTGATATGAGGGCAAAACTTGAATATTAAATAACAAATGCATTCAAGATTTATAGGTTGCAGAAATTTTCTGAATCCGTTCCATACTACAGGAATATCATTTTCAGTTAATGTAGTAAAACAAAACCGGAACCATCCAGGTTCAATGCAGTGGCAGGATGATCCAGGAGTTGTATTGATCTTAGCTATATTCAACAACTTCTCCCATAGCTCAGCCTCCCCCTTCTCACTGTAAGAGCAGATTAACCCACTCATATCTACCCAACAATAGAAACCCCCTCTGCTCTTTGTTTACTTAATACCTAACTGATTCAACCCTTTTGTAAATTCCAAATACATTCTCCTTTCCCTATTGATCGCACGAAATTCCTTGATAAATCTATTATCTAAGAGCATAGATATTCAAAGACGCTGGGTGGGGGTTGAAATGGATGAGAATCCTGCTAATCTTTTAGCAGCAGCCAAAACATTCTCATTGTAAGTATAGATGACCCCCACCCTAAACCCGGGAAGACAAAGGTCTTTGGATAACCCATATATGATATGGACCCTGCTCCTGTCAAAATCCTCTGTTTCAAGAACATCAGCCACGCACTCCCCTGAGCCGGACAAGATTCCGATGCTGGAGTTGAGCCACCACCAGCAGCTGTGCTGCGATTCCGAACCTGAGCTCGAGAGATCATAACAAGGTATCAAAACAAGCTTCAGTGTATCTTTTAGCGTTAGACTACAACCTTTATCCGTTAACATCATCACCTTCGCTAGCCTGGATGTCGATAAACTGGTTGAACCACCAATTCTACGCTTGAAGAATTGAGCCTCTTCATCTTCAGTATTGTCAAAAGTTTTATTTTGAAAATTTAAAGAAGAATGATGGACAAAATTGTCTTTTTAATCCTTTCGTTAACAGATACCGAGGTAAAGAAGATTTAGTCAATTGTTAAAAACAGTAGAATTAATTTAAGACAATACTGAAACAGTAGGGTTTTCTACCCCATGTATTTTATAACACTATAACTGTTCATTGGACTGAGAAACCAATGATGATGCCCCATGTATTTTATAACTGGCATGGGGTGCCATCATTGAACAAGTCATTCCAAATGGAATTTGGGATCTCTACCCACAAAATGCATTCCAATCCTCTACCACTTTCATCTAACGCTGCACATCTCATCATGAGACGGAAACTCATCATAAAAGTGGGATCACTATGAATGAGATGTGCAGTATACATATTGGTAGGATGTTGGAATGTATTTTGTTAGTAGCTGATCTGAGCTTTTCCAAATGAGCTTTCATCCACAAAATCTTCCCACTTCCTTACCCATGCAACACTATAAGTACAGATTGGGAATATTTTCCCAAGGTGGGTAGGGATGTAGAAAGAATTTGTGGGTATTTGATTGCAAGTGATCAAATTCAGCTAAATCAGTAGGTGGGGGGTGTTATCATTATTCCCACAGCCATCAAGTTTAATTAATGCCTTCTCATGTCTGTGTGTAGTATATCTGAAACTCCGACTTAGGGGTGATCATGAAAAACCAAAATACTGCACTGAATCAATGAGATTGAACTGAAAATTTCATTTAACCAAATTGATCGATTTAGTATTTTAAAAAAATCGAAAGTATCAGTTTGGTTTTGGTTAACCAATATAAAAATTTATGGTTAACTAAATTGACTGTTATATATTTATATATATCATAAATATTATATCAATGAATATATATGTATTATATAAATATATATTTATAATATATAATATATTATTTATTATTTATAATATAATATTATATATATTTTTAGTTATTTATTTATTTATAATATATTATAAAAATAAAAAAGCCGAAAAACCAATGAACTGAACTGAACCAGTTAGTCGACTGGCTTCTTTTCGGTTACCGGTTTTTCAAATATGGATACTACCGGTTCGATTAACCGAAACCGAACCGTGAGCACCCCTGTCAACGATTCAATTGATGATAGTCTCATACTCTCATGCTAGAAGAATCAAGTGATCTGGTTGGTTTGGGTCCTTGGGATTAAAAATCCGGATCACTGACAGCTTCAACGAGACTCATCATCATTGAAATAAGGAACCGCAAGTGTGAAATCAGACCGGAATCTGGCATTTTGCACTCCGGGGTTTAGCTATGATATCGCAGTTCTTTGTGCTCTCGCAGAGAGGCGACAACATCGTCTTCCGCGACTGTAAGCCCTCTCTCTCTCTCTCTCTCTCTCTCTCTCTCTCATCTTCTTTATAAATTTGGGGTTCAAGTCCCTTGCTCTTCGCACTCAATTTCGGATTCCTTAACCATTTGGCTTTGACTGCAACATGATTCTGCGAATCGCTTTTTTTTTTTTTTTTTTTTTTTTTTACTTTGGAACCTTGTAAAACAATTCTTGAAATAGTTCCAAGATCTCAGGGAGACTTGGTCCTGCATGATGAAACATAAGCAACAATCTGAGTACTACATCTTGATTTCAGTTGCTTCCTTCGCTGTGTTTATACGAATCAATTATCTCAGAACATAAATACCTTCTTTAGCCACAATCCAAGTAAATTCTGTATCTTCTTGATCGTGACCAGCGTTGAAACTTTAACTACAAAGGAAATACCATAGATAGCTAAAACGTTCAGTAAGGTATTACGCCAAGTACTCCCAAAAGAACAGGATCTCCTTTGCTGCCAGGACTCTAAATCAAGGGTTTTATTTACATATTTTTTTGGGGGTGGGTGGGGAACGAACTAAGGAGCTAATTGGTTCTGCATAAAAATAACCAGTTAATTCTTCCAAGTTCTGAACTTCATCCCCAGTGCAAAATTTGTACCACTTGTCCAAAATCAGCGCTCCTGTAACAATGCTACTCTAGAATCATTAATAGTCTTGCGACCTAACAGAAGCGTTCAGTAATAGTTATTTGAAGCTGAAACGAGATTGACCTTTCCACCAAGTAATAACTATACTTGGTGATCTCAGCATCTCTTCAGAACAGCAGAACCACCTTTTTTTGAGAATTTAGTCCTTTTTTCTTTTTTTTTTTTTTAAATCTTTATGATATGAGAAGCCATACGATCTATCAAGGGCGTTATGATTATAAACATTAATTTTGTTTTCTATATTTCTTGTTAAACCCGACTAGATACAAAAAAACTGATAATAAGTGGGTTTCTTAAAGGGCATTCTCTACAAATAATCATAGAACACTCCTTGTAGAATGGTGAGGAGATATTACTTCTACAATGCTATTGTCAGTACTCACACATTTGAAGCAATCTTTGATCTAATTATTGTTAAGTGCACTGGATATTCACTGTTGATGACTTTGGGAGCAACTTTGATCTCTGCCCATTTATTAATCATAGATTATCTATGGATCCTTGAGACTCAAAGCTTTACTTCAGTGATTATCTGATGGAAAATCCTTCTCCAGGATATTACTATTATACTTTATCCCTGTTAAATGTGCTTATACTTTTGTTCTCCTTCTTGGAATTGGTTGTGGTGGAGGGATATTGACTTCGTAGTCCATAGACTTACTAGAAGCTGAGTTATGAAGAATGAGCTACTTCTTTTGGGGTGGGGGTGGAGGGTTGGGGTTCTATTGCCATGCTAGTATGTTTTGCATATTTTGAGTCTGTAACGTTTTCTTGACACACCTTAAAGGGTGATAATAGCTTGGTTCCCCATTTTCTGTGTCCTTTTTTGTATTGGGATCAGAGTTTCTTTTATATTCTTTTAGCCCTTCACATTTTTATATTTTAATTAGTGATGAAAAAAGATTCATCCAAACATGAAGGAGAAGATACAAAATCTTTCACTCCCTACAAGGCTACAATGGAAGGGGTTATGTGTGGGGAGGGGGAGGGGATTGGTATGTACAAAATGTGTCCAACATACAAATTACACTGGCAGAGATTGTCGTCATCCAAGCTTTGTCCCAACCATATGGGGTTGGCTACATGAATCCTGTTCCACCATTCCATTCTATTCTGGTGCCATATCCATTCATTCCATTGTTAAATTGTGGGCCCTTAAAATCAATCTCACTACTTGAACTCACGTCTTATTTGGCCTGCTCCTAGCTCTTCTAGCTCCTTCAACTTGTAATAGATTACTTCTTCTTATTGGTGCTGTAGATGGTCTTCTATACACTAGTTACCATTACCATTTTTTCCTGAAAAAAGATAAAGTATATTCATTAACTATTAACAAAACATTACAAAAGGTGCTGTATGTTTGCTGACATACAGCAGTAGAAGAGAAGAGAAGAGAAGAGAAGAGACGAGAAGAAGTTTGAGAATGGGCAGCAATGTGTTCATAGCCGGCCCTAGAAGCTATTATATATATATTCACAGTAAGATGTTACATGAATAGATAAGAATGCCCCTGATTAGTGATGGGACACCTAGGCATAATAAAATAAAATAAAACAGGTTTAGGCCCAATAACTAAAGGCTCATAACAGACTAAAGAACTTAAACATAAAAGATAAAATAAGCCCACCAACACTTAACCACTCAAACCAACACTCCCCCTCAAGCTAAGCATGGATGTTAGTCACGTTTAACTTGCCAAGTAAGCCTAAGAACTTCACTGAAGATAGTCCTTTTGTCAAAACATTAGCAACATAGGGAATGCAAAGTTCACCCGAGACAATTCTCTCTCTTACAAAGTATCGGTCAATCTCAATATGCTTAGTCCTATCATGTTGTATTGGGTTATTTGCAATGTTGATGACAGTCTTGTTGTCACAATACATCTTGAGAGGACCATCAACTTTCATCCCGAGCTCACCAAGGGGGGTCCTAAGCCACAATAGTTCTGCAATACCATGTGCCATAGCCTGATATTCAGCTTCTGCACTTGATCTTGCAACTACATTTTGCTTTTTACTTCGCCAAGTAACCAAATCCCCTCCAACAAATGTACAATATCCGGAAGTAGACTTCCTATCTCCAATTGATCCAGCCCAATCTRCATCAGTATATGCCTCAATTTCAATTTTATTGTGCTTTTTGAACAAAATTCCTTTCCTTGGACATGTCTTCAAATACTTGAGGATGATCTTTTCAACTGCTTTCATATGAGGAATCTTTGGAGAGCGCATGAATTGGCTGACAACATGCACTGCATAAGCTATACCAGGTCGGGTAAAAGATAGATATATCAATTTTCCCACCAGCTTTTGGTATATTTCTTTATTAGGGTAGTCCTCTCCAACTGATTCCTAGAGACAATGATTCTGCTCTATTGGAGTATCTGCTAGTCTACACCCCATCATACCTGTCTCCTCTAGAAGATCAAGGACATACTTCCTTTGACATATATAAATGCCCTCTTGTGACTTTGCAACTTCAATTCCAAGGAAGTATCTCAAATGCCCTAAATCTTTGATCTCAAATTCAGATGCCAAGAACTCCTTCAGTCTTTTTATCTCTTTCAGATCATTCCCTGTAATCACCATATCATCCACATATACTATAAATGCTGTAAGCCTGCTATCCTATTTTCTTATGAACATATGATCTGCACCACTTTGACTGTATCCTACTTTCTTCATGGCCCCACAAAGCCTTTCAAACCAAGCTCGAGGGGATTGCTTAAGTCCATATAATGCTTTCTTTAGCCTACATACCTTCCCAAGAAAATCATAACCAGGTGGAGGATTTATGAATACCTCCTCATGTAGATCACCATTCAGGAAAGCATTCTTCACATCCAACTGATGTAACTCCCATGAAAAATTTGCAACTAATGACAATAGAACCCGAATTGTGTTAAACTTTGCAACTAGAGCAAAAGTCTCCTTGTAGTTAGTCCCTTTCTTCTGAATAAATCCTTTTTCCAGTGGCCTGGCCTTATATCTTTCAATCGACCCATCCTCCTTGTGCTTCACAGTGAACACCCACTTACATCCCACAGTGCTCTTCCCTTCTGGTAGATCAACTAACTCCCAGTCCTAGCCTTCATTAAGGCTTTCATTTCCTCATTCATAGCCTCTCTCCATCTTGGGTCAGACACTGCCTTTGAGTACCTAGCAGGAAAATAAATAGAGGAAAGGGTAGTCACAAAGGAATAATAACAAGGAGATAAACATGAATAAGAAACACATTCAGCAATGGGGTGTCGAGTAGTATAAGAACGGGTAGGCTTACGAAAAGCAATGGGAAGATTCAAATTAGAAGTTTGAGTGATAGGATTACCTGGAACCATTGAGACAGATTGATCCGAGTCTGATTGGTTGTTGCCATAAGTTGGAGGATCTTTTTTCCTTTTTTTGTAGGGAATTCTCATATCTTTCTGTTGTCTTTTAGTTTTATCAGTCACAACCTCAACATCAGGAGCCGTAACAGGTTTAGTGAGAGTTCCACTAGATTTACCTGGGCAATCAGGAACAGTAATAGGTTCAGTGGGAGTCTCACTAGATTCACCTGGGCTGCTAAAACTAGGAGGATCAGGAGGAGAAGATTGAAGGCTCGAGGCTGAAAGAGGCATAAAGAAGGAGGGAGAAGAAGAATCCTCTTCCATCCTACTAGTCTCCCCCTGAAGAGGATTCTTGGAAGATTGAAAATAGGACTGGGACTCGAAAAACACATCCTTGGTGACATATTTTTTCTTGGTAACTGGATCATAGTACTTATAACCTTTGTGTGTGAGAGTACCCTAGAAAGATCCCTTTTGTAGCCCTAGGATCCAACTTAGTCTTCTTAGGATCCTTGACATGAACAAAACACACACAGCCAAAGACTCTAGGAGGAAGAGGGAAATCTAGAAGGTTAGGACAAATGATAGAGAAAGGAGTTCTCGTACCCAACACCCTAGATGGCATTTGATTTATCAGATACGATGCTATAAGGACTGCTTGAGACCAGTGTTATTGATTAAAAAAAAAAGGACTGCTTGAGACCAATAGTGCTTGGGAACCTTGTGCTAAAATAGTAAGGCTGGATCTGTCTCCAATAAATGTCTATTTTTGCGCTTAACAACCCCATTCTGTTGAGGGGTACTAGCACAAGATGACTGATGTAAGATGCCTGCATCCTCCAATAACAGATTCAAAGAACTTTCAAAATATTCAATAGCATTATCTGAATGGAATTGCTTAATTTCTTGCCAAACTGAGTTTCAATCATTTTACAAAATGCCATGGTTATCCATGGTACTTCATCATGCCCTTTTAACAAGTAGATCCATGTGCATCGTGAA